TCCCTCCCCCCCCTTCCCCCTCCCCCTCCTCCCCTCCTCCTCTGGCTCCTCCTCCATCCTCCCCTTCTTTGGGCATGACGGCTCCACAGCCTTTATTCCACTGCGTGCTCCCTTACATGCCTGATCAGGGCAACGCGCCTGGGCATCGTTTCTGGATGGGCTGGAGGGGTTACGCGAAGCGTCCACGTCCAGAATCTCGAGGAGTCGGATCCAGTCGTGGCGACGAGGTCAACCCAGGAGAGCTCAAAAAGACACCCACACGCCCGAACGCCTCTACCATTGACACTCGACCCTCTTCCTCTCCTCTTCCTCCTCTATGCTCTCCTTTCTATATGTTTCCTCCTCCTCCTCCTCCTCCTCCTCCCCCTCCTCGATGCTCCCGCCCCCTTCCTCCGGCTTCTCCTGCTCCTGCCCATCTCGGCCCCAGAGATCGCGCAAAGACGGCACTTTTGCGGGGCTCCCCCGCGGCCTCTGACGCGACGAGCGAACATCCCATGTTTGCGATGAGTTTTGCCGGACTGCATTTTCGAGTCTTCCCCTGCTCCCCCTCTCCTACCCCGACCCTCCTCCTGGTGATCCTCCCCCTCTCCTCCTCCTCCTCCTCCTCCTCCTCCTCCTCCTCCTCCGCCTCCTCGTCTCCTCCTCCTCCTCCTCCCTCCTCCTGCTCCTTCTCCTCCTCCGCCTCCTCCTCCTCCTCCTCCTCCTCTCCCATCTGGCCCTCCCCGCCCTCCCTCATCCTCCTCCTTCTCTCCTCCTCTCCTCCTCCTCCTCCTCCTCCTCCTCCTCCTCCTCCTCCTCCCCGTCCTCCTCCTCCGTCTCCTCCTCCTCCTCCTCCTCCTCCTCCTCCTCAGGCCAGAGCAGACGGAGTCAGAGGATGGCACCGCATCGCCGATGCACTGGTGACGTCGGGACGGAGAAAACCGGACCCTGGATCGCGCGACATCGCCGATGCGGCGCGGTCCTCCGACCCCATCTACTCGGGGCCCATTTGGGAGGCCTGGCCCCATGTGGTCCTTTCTCCTCCCTCCCTCCGCCCCCATCAGGAACCCCCATGTCATGCCCGCAGTCAGCTCAAAACCCCCACAACCCCGAGCCAAAACCCCACAACCCCGCGTGCTCCCGCAGGCACGCGTGCGTTCCCGCGCGTGCAACGCGGACGTCCCGGCGTGCTTCGAAGCCCAGAGGTCAACAACAACGACAACAACAACAACAACAGCAGCAATAACAACAATAACAACAGCAACAGCAACAGCAACAACAACAACAACAACACCAACAACAACAACAACAACAATTACTAGCACGTGGGGACACACCGTTCTCACCAGTGCCAGGGTTTTCATGGGAGGCGGGCAATGCCCCCACTTTGTGGGGGGGCCGGTTCAAGCTCTACCAAATTTCCAAACGACTCTTCGCCACCACCCACACCCAGCTTCCCGCCCTATGACGTTCGGACACTTCACTTCGTGGCATGCGGACGACCGTGGCTACTATTCAGGGCCCCGCGGCCGACGACGACGGCGTGCGCGCGCGAAGAAAAAACGAATGTGTCCCGCATGGTATTATTTGACAGGGATGATGGCCCTGGCAGGTGCGCAACCGTTGTTGCAGAAGTTCGAAAAAGTTGCTCGCAAAAGCCCGTTTGACAGAAATGTTTAAAAAGTGTTGGGTTTCCTACGAATCCGCAAGAGCGCGCGGGATGAAATTTTGACATTTTTTTTTTTGAAAAACCATTGGTTTTTTGATGTTTTTATGTTAAAATCGCTACGAAAACTAAGGTTTTGGAAGGATTTCGTCTTGCGCGCGCGAATGTCCACTTTACCTTATTTTTTGCAAGGGATTCTTGAAGTTTGGTTATGTTAGAACAAGAAATGCCCACTTTAGCTTATTTTTTGCAAGGGAAAACCGATCGTAACAACACAACCGGATCCGGAGCAACCCGTTTTGCCTGAGACTGCCTCACGAAAATGATGAAAATGAGGCTGCGGCCTAGGCGCGGCGGGGGGGTCGTGCACCATGGGTCCCAACAATAATTATTCTTTAGAAGTAATAATGTTCAACAACAACAATAACCACAACAACAACAGCAACAACAATGACAACAACAACAGCAACAACAACAACAAGGACAGGGACAATCCCTGGGCCCCAGCGCTCGGGCTCCTCCAGCGCTCTCCTCCAAGGGGGGGGGCAGGAATCGTCCCCAGGCCCCGGGGTCCCCCCAACAACAACAACAACAACAACAACAACAACAACAACAACAACAACAACAACAACAACAATCACTTTACCCGAACGCTCAGTGTTCTCACCAGTGCCAGGGTTTTCATGCGACGCCAGCCAATACCCCCACTTTGTGGGGGGGCAGTGCAAGCTCTACCAAATATCCACACGACTCTTCGCCACCACCCACACCCAGCTTCCCGCCCTATGACGTTCGGACACTTCACTTCGTGGCCTGCGGACGACCGTGGCTACTACACTGGCGTGGAGTACACACCCACAGAAGTTGTTAAGCCTACGTTCGTACACCCACAGAAGTTGTTAAGCCTTGTTAACCCACAGAAGTTGTGAAGCCTTCCACAGAACATCTGTTGCATATGATGCATATGGTACATGATACACATGATACACATGATACGCACTCACAAGATAGTTGATCACATTGGTTTTTTTAGGATTCGGACAGCGCGCGCGGGTAGAAATTTTGAAAAGTCGTGCAGGTGTTTTTCGAGGACCTACGGTGCGATTCGTGTGATTTTATGATGCGCGGTGCTAAAATTCTTAAGAAGCCCAATGGTTTTTGGAGATTTCGGCGTGCGCGCGCGAAGAAAAAACGAATGTGTCCCGCATGGTATTATTTGACAGGGATGATGGCCCTGGCAGGTGCGCAACCGTTGTCGCAGAAGTTCGAAAAAGTTGCTCGCAAAAGCCCGTTTGACAGAAATGTTTAAAAAGTGTTGGGTTTCCTACGAATCCGCAAGAGCGCGCGGGATGAGATTTTGACATTTTTTTGTTGAAAAACCATTGGTTTTTTGATGTTTTTATGTTAAAATCGCTGCGAACACTAAGCTTTTGGAAGGATTTCGTCTTGCGCGCGCGAATGTCCACTTTACCTTATTTTTTGCAAGGGATTCTTGAAATTTGATTATATTAGAACAAGAAATGTCATTTTATAGTGTTTTTTGCAAGGGAAAACGGATTACAACAAAACAACCGGATCTGGATCACATCGTTTTACCTGAGGCTTCCTCACGAAAATGATGAAAATGTAGCTGCGGCCTAGGCGGCGCAGGGGGGGCGTGCACCAGGGGGCCCAACAATAATTATTCTTTAGAATAAATAATGTTCAACAGCAACAGCAACAACAACAGCAACAGCAACAGCAACAGCAACATCAACAGCAACAAAAACAACAACAACGCTGGGAATGAATCGACAAACAAACTGAGGAGCCCCTCGGAAATCCAGTGCTGATTCGGAGTGGTGACTTACGTGTGTGCGCGCTAGAGAAGCGAGGGATTCTATAGAAACCCTGCAGGCATCCTATAGAAACCCTACAAGCATCCGATAGAAATCCTACAGGCATCCTATAGAAACCCTACAGGCATCCTACAGGGACGCTACCGGCATCCGATATAACCCCTACAGGCATCCTATAGAAACCCTACAGGGATCCTGTAGAAACCCTGAAGGGATCCTTAAACAAAAACCATTCTGGCATCCTATAGAAACCCGACAGGCGTCCAATAGAAGCCCCTAAATGCATCCTATAGAAACCTACAGGCATCCCATAGAAACCCTACAGGCATCCAGTAGAAACCCAACAGGCATCCTATAGGATCCCTACAGGCATTATATAGACACCCTACATGCATCCTATGGAAACCCTACAGGCATCCTATAGAAACCGTACAGGGACCCGATAGAAGCCCTACATGCACCCTATAGAAGCCATACAGGCATCCGATAGAATCCCTACATGCATCCTATAGAACCCCTACAGGCATCCTATAGAAACCCTACAGGCACCCAGTAGAAACCCCTAAAGGCATCCTATAGAAACCCCATAAAGCATCCGATAGAAACCCTACAGGCATCCTGTAGAAAGCGTACAGGGACCCGATAAACAACCCGACAGGGATTCTACAGAAACCTTACAGGGATCCGATAGAAACCGTACAGGGACCCGATAGAACCTCTACAGGGATCCTAAACAACAAACCTACAAAGATCCAGAATAAACCGTACAGGGACCCGATAAAAGAAACCCTAGAAAGGGATCCTATTACAAAAAAGCCCTACAGGAATCATATTACAAAAAACCTACAGGCATCCTATAGCAACCCGACAGGGATCCTATAGACACCCTACAGGGATCCCACAGAAACCCTACAGGGGCCCTGCAGGAAAATACAAGGGTCATGCAGAAACCCTATGGAGGATCCTACAGAAACCCTATAGAGGATGCTACAGAAAGCCCATAAGGATCCTGCATATACGTATCCTACAGAAACCCGATCAGGATCCAACAGAAACCCTTTAAGGATACTGCAGAAACCCGATCAGGATCCCACAGAAACCCGATACATATACTACTGGAAAAAATATCCTGACGTGACTAACATGTGCGGGAGGGATCTTTCCGACGCCGATCTTGGTCATGGTCCATGCTGGCCGTCGCCAACTCGCGAAGATAATCTACCAAGATCGGCACCGACGTGTCCGCGGTCAGTCTTGGGGGAGGAGGACGAGAAAGAGGAAGAGGAGGAGGAGGAGGAAGGAAGGAATCCTGGCATGGGAAAGCTGGTCCTGGAGGAAACGTGCCCCAGAGTGTCTTCGCCGCTGTGCGGGCCCCTGTGGGGCACTCCGCGGGCCCCTGGGGTCAGGTCGGGAGCGCCCCCCCGCAAGCGGATTTTGGTCGACAATTTGGACATGGACAAAAAATATGCCAAAAATGGTCGAGAATAAATAAAAAAAACGTCCCCTGACTATTTTTCGACTACCTTTGAACCTTCCTCCTGCAGGGGGACGTGCCCGATTTGACGCTGGGCCCCTGTGTTGCCCTCCACGGGCCCCTGGGGCCATCAGGGAACCAGCCCAGGCGATGGGCGGAGATCGACCACCGCCAGCACGAATTTTCAGACAACCGCGCGGACGTCCTGAGCCTGCGCTGGACCCTCCCCCTCCACCCCTGGCGCGCGCCGCCACGAAATCCGAGGAGGAGGAGGGGGCAGAGGAGTAGGCGGAGGAGGAGGGGGAGGAGGCGGCGGAGGAGGCAGAGGGTGCCGATCCCAGAGATCCGCCCAAACTTCGAGGAGGTACGAACGTGCCGCCGCCCGGGCGCAGATGGACGGCGCCCCTGCACAGCCCCTTCCCCGACGCGCCTGGGCCCGGGTCCGGCGCGCCCCCCTACAGGCGGATCTCGGAGGAAGAATTGAATTAAAATTACGCACAACATACTACCTGTGGCTCAGCTGGAGCTGGCTGCGCGGCGGGCTGCTCCTGAGGGGGCGGCGCCGCCAGCGGGTCCACGTCGATGTTGAACACCTCTCCCGCGGCCTCCGCGTCGTGCTCCGCCTTCTTCGCGTCCGAGATGGCCTTCTCCGCCTTTTTCGCGTCCGAGATGGCCTTGAGGTGCTTGGACAGCTTGATCGCTTCGGGGACCGAGAGCTTGACCATGGAGTAGTCGCGCTTGATTGCGTCGATGTCCCACCTGTCCAGGCTGAGCATGTTGAAGTAGGGCATGGCGTTCGTGAAGAACACGACCTGCGGCCTGTCGAAGCGGACCCTCTTGAAAGAGTACCGCTTGTCGTAGGCCAGGCCGTTCTTCACGCTCTCTAGGCCCGAGAAGAACTCCCCCATGTTCTTCTGTGGCATGGCCCGCGGCGTGTCGATCAGGAAGGCGCGTTTATTCTTGGACGCCAGGACGCAGGCCATGAGGTCCTCAAGGGTCATGAACGGTGGCACTTCAGTCGCCAACCCCTTGTGCTCGAGGAACTCGGAGAATATCGACTTGCCGATGTTACCCACAGCGTCGTGTATAAGGATGATGCGCCTGTCGTCCTCCTGTTGGATCAGCTCCTCGACAGTTTTCTGCCACGGACGAAGCTCCTTGCCCATGAAGGCCTTCACCTGACGAGTCTCTTTCGGAGGTTCAGCGAGATCGAACTCGTCATCCTTCCACGGCCCTGCAAGGCGGCCTGGGAGCTTCATCGCGTAGTTGAAGTTGCGCGTGGTGTGTACTCCAGTCGATGTGGCGGAGATGTGCCCGTTCCAGAGGTCCTGCCTGTGCTGGTTGATGAACGCCCCGAGGTAGTACCTCTTCCTCGTGTTCATGCGGCACTGGAAATGGTCGTACCCACCCTCGCCGCGTTCGTTCGAGCTGAAACACGAACTTCTTACACAGCTCCGCCAAGCGCTTTCCAACGAGGTTGTGGTCTCCGTCAGGGACGTTGTTCTTCGGGATAGTGACATCGAAGGAGATCAGCAGCGTGTTGTTCGAGGCGAGCACATCGCGGGCTGAGCCTGCCGCGGGGGCGGCGGCAGCGGCGCCAGCAGAGGAGGCCATGCTTGTATGCTGGGCAAGGATGGGTAGCAGCAGCAAGCGTGAATACCTGAGTCGAGACAGCTGCGGTGGACAACTGAGCGTTCCCGTCAGCGTGGGCCATGTACTGCTGGCCTTGTGCTCTACCACGCATGCTAGCCCGTGCGCGCTTGTCGATGCACCGCAACGACCCAGTAAAACACGCACCGCCATTTCGCATTCACATTTGACAGGACGGAAGAGCCAAAAAACAAATAAATCAAAAACCTCACAACACCTCCGCCCCTCCCTCCGCGGCCGCTTCCTCTTCTCCTCTGCTATCCTTCGGGGAGACGTAAGACTCGGGTACGGGGGACTTGGATTGGCCTGACGGAGGCCATCATAAAAATGACGAGACCCAATCTGAAATTTGACGCGGACTCCCGCTGCAGACATCCCGCGAAAACGGGACCGTCAAAATCCAGGACGCACTCGTCAACAAAAAGGTCGGCACACTCGAGTCCGGTTTACTCGAGTCTTACGTTTCCCCGCTTCCTCTGCAATGCACCGACGAGCTGCGCAAAGAGCTCCGTGTCTGCCCGACCGACCCGGCGAGCGCAGGGTCCGCGGCAAGCCTGTGCTTCTCGCCCTGGCAGGGCGCCCTGATAGCAGCAGGAGCTGCAGCCAGGACGGGTGAGAGCACGGCCCTGCGCAGCTGGGTGTCTTCTAGCCAGGGGATCGTGGCCGTCCAGACCAAACATGTAGCCCGAACGGCGGGAGCGAACTTCGTGCATAAACGGTGGAGTGTGTCAGGCGCAGCGGCTGCCGGCCCGCGCGGTCTCGAGGGCTCCCCCGTCCCCCTGTGAGACTCGTCTGTGGCCATGTTTTCACGAGCGGCGGGCATATCCGTATCCGCGCCCTCGCAGTCTGGTCGGGGATCTTCTGCCCCGGGTCAATCCAGACCCGCGTCAGCC